ACCTGTGAGAGGAGTTTTTCGAAACTAAAACTGATCAAGAATTACTTAAGATCTACTATGAGCACCTTGCGGTTGAGAAATCTTGCCATACTGTCTATAGAGCGACAATTGACAGATGAAATAGTTTTTGACAATGTCATTGAAGAATTTGCCAACAAAAAAACAAGAAAAGTTACTTTGTAGAAAGTTGTAGTTTTCATTTCAGAAATAAAGATGGTCCTAATTTTTTACACTTTTTTTACTTTTTTCCCTATCCTATATGTCGTTTTTGCTTTTTGTTTAACTGTTACTTATAAAGTTTAAGTATGTTTGGTGTGTATTTAAAGCATACTATATTTGAGTATGTGAAAGTACAGTAATATTATAATGGTACACAAACTATTTAATATATATATATATATATATATATATATATATATATATATATATATATATATATATATATATATATATATATATGATCACTGTGTATGTATTTTTTTGTGGGGGCACAGAGGGCAAACTCAAGGGCCGCCCCGGGCGGCACACACTCTAGCTACGCCACTGGTGACAAATGCGGTTTTCCATTCATTAGGGCATTTGCTTTGTCTGAGGGATGCATTAATAATAGAACAGAGGGGGGTGGCAAGTTCGACTGCAAACTCCTTGTATATTTTGATTGGGAGCATCCGTGCTTCACAAAAGGAGGATATGGACTGTAGCCCAGCAGATCTCACCCTAGGCGAGCCCCTTCGCCTACCCGGGAATTTCTCACTCCCTCCTGACCTCCACCAAACCACTCCTACCGTTCGCCACGACTTACTCCAAAAGCTACTACAAGCAATTTCTGCATTCAGAGCTACTGCTCCACGCCAGGCTCCTCGGCGCCCTGAACACATCCCTCCTCCACTACTCACAGCCGAGTATGTTTTTGTCAGGCGTGATGCTCACCGCAACCCACTACAACGCCCCTACCATGGACCCTTCCAGATTGTTACCCGTTCAGCGAAGTTCCTGACGATTATCCGGAATGGCAGACACGACACCGTCAGCATAGACCGAATCAAGCCGGCCACCTTACCCGTTGGGCCCCTGGCCCAGCAGCACCCCCAACGAACTATGCCTGCACCAGTCTTCCTGCCGTTACCACCTGCAGCAATACCCCGCCCTCAGGTACCTACTGCTCCTGTCGTGGACCCTCCTCCTGACGTGGACCCCGTTGCTGTCATGGACCCTCCTCCTGACGTGGCCCCTGCCCCTGATCCAGCCAGACCCCGCCCACGACATTTCTGGGCACCCTCCTACCACCCTCAAGTACCTACTGCTCCTGACGTGGACCCTGTTGCTGTCATGGACCCTCCTCTTGACGTGGACCCTGCTGCCGTCGTGGACCCTGTTGCTGTAATGGACCCTTCTCCTGACGTGGCCCCTGCCCCTGACCCAGTCAACCCAGCCAGACCCCGCCCACGACATTTCTGGGCACCCTCTTTCCACCCTCAGGTACCCCCTGCTCCTGTCCTGCACCCTGCTGTTGTCGTGGACCATGTTGCTGTCATGGCCCCTGCCCCTTACCCAGTCTACCCAGCCAGTGACGCTGCCCCTGCCGCGACAGGAGCACAACAATCATTGCCTGTACAACCTCCTCTAATCCAAAACCCTCCTTTTCCCCCTGATTCTCCCACAGGTTTTGTGTCACTAGACGGAGTCGTCACCTGCAGCGGCCGAGTCGTCTGTACACCTGCCCAGTATGTATCACTTGTGGGACGCAACCCTGCCAACCTCCAGCCTCCCGCCGCGCCCGGAGGAGAAGGGGAGTATTGTAGTGGACCCCATCCCCTACAAGTGACGAATGAGCTCCCTCGCGCAGGGCCGGATTCAAGAGTGGGTAAAGTGAGCAGTTGCCCAGGGGCCTCCACAATCTGGGGGCCTCCACATATTACAATATTTTATTTATTTGTTTATTCATTTGGATTATTTTTATTTTCATTCTTTAAAATTCATGTTTATCTATTCCATCACGGAAAACTATGTTCATCAAGAAGCATGATAGAAATTAGGCTAGCTACTCCTTGAAATTCATGAATGCCTGGTTTTCCTATGAACAGTATATTTTTAATGAATGCTATTGTTTGTGTTGCTAATAATATATTTAGAATTCCACAAACATATATTGATTAAAAATGAACTACATGGAATAACGAAAGTGAGATTAAAAAAAACAAATAAAATATTTTTTCATTATCACTTCCATTACGAATGCCACCAGGGCGCTGTGTTCTAATTTCCTCAATATAACTGCATATGGCTTCAAAATTCTCCAAAGAAGTGTTCAAATTTCAAAATTTTCCCGGGGGCTTACAGCGCCCCCCGGAACTCCCAGATGTTTAGGCTCGTTTCACTCGCCACCCCACCCTCTTAGGTAGTTATAATGAGGGGGGCCTCCACAAAGAGGCTGCCCATGGGCCTCCACAGGTCTAAATCCGGCACTGCCCGCGCGCCTACCAGCCAATCAGAGTACAGCCAGCGATGCTCGTAAACCTACTCTCCAGTGCGGACGTACACATAGCAATGCTAGGATCAGAGTGCCCGGTATTCCTGGCATCCTCCTCTGTGATTGGCTCTCACGCTACGCGCATGTAATGATTGAATATCAGACCAAAGCTTACAGCCCAAAATTACATCACACATAACAGCAAGTATAGTACAGACCGCGTGGTACCCTAACACCACAGGTTGACACACCGCAGGTCAAGACCTGACCCCGGCCTAAGTACTTGCTTAACCCTACGATATAACCGTGTTAAGGAAACCACACCTGACCAAGGCCTACCCGGGCGGTAATAATGACAAAGCACTATTGTCCTGCGACATGACCTCACCCGGGCAAACACCTGTCCAGACCTGACCCAAGGGAGATCAAGGACCCGCTAATCAGCCAGCACCCCTGTTACCCAACCCAACAACCCGGTCAAGACACACCCACTTAAATAGGAGAGGTCACCCTCCGGCTCCTCCAATATATAGGGGCTGGAGCTCCTCTCACCTGGGAGAATCTGATAACCAAGGAGGGCCAGCAACCACGTCCCCTGTCCCGCTTATCAAAGAAGTCCGTCACTAAAGGCAACGAGGTCTCCGCCGGGTCCATCGACAGAGTGCTGTCTATTCAACGTATAACAGTAAGTGCTGACTATGTAGGCGGTAGAAGTGCAGTGATCCCGGACCTTCCAACGATCGACTTAGTGAAGTGCCCATTCGACTTGTGAAGTTAAACGAACATATCATAGTCCATTATACACTGTGTACGAATCCCCCCCATTAATTCCCCCTATGCAACTAGTAAAATAAAGCTGTAACACGCAGTTGCGTTTTATATACTACACTTGTACTGGGCCTGTGTTAATATACGTAGTCTCCCCCACACCCTCGAGACATGCTACCAAACTTCCTGTCTTTACATCCTCCTGCTATAAATATTCTACCTATATGTCATATCCTCTTCTGGGGAGTTTTGTCTCATTACACCCACCCCAAATCCTGATGTTTCTGAATTGTATAAATACGGGCGTGGCTGGCCAGGGAGACGATTCTACTCTGACCTACTGGACCAGCAAGATCTCTCTCCAGCGCCTCACCACCCAGCTAGCTCCCTCAGAAAGCTCCTCGCCCTACAGGACCTCTGAGCAAGCTACTCCTCACCTAGTAACACCTACAATGATTTATTTGCATAACACGCCATGCCTGGCTACTTTAATCGACAAGCGGCTTCAATGGATAGTCCGTACTCCATACTCTTGGCTCCTCTACGTGTGTGTTGGTGGCAGGGATTAGCGGATGCATCATTTTGACCTGACCTCATGTTTTAGATGCCTGTATATTAAGCCTCTCTCGCCATGTAATCCAGGCTGCCTCTAGAGATGTCTTGAATAAAGGGCAGCTAAGGTACTCCGTTGTTTCCATTTTCGTGTGATTTTATCAAGATATATATATATATGTGTGTGTGTGTATATACAGAAAACGCATTGTGAGTTTCTATCCTAACCTGTACCTTATTCCTGAGTGTGAGATATCTACATGCACGTGCGTTTGTGTGCCTATACAAAGAGACAATAGACAACTAAAGAGAATTGACAACTGGCCACATACCGTACGCTACAAGCTCTTTTAAAACCAGACTTGACCAACACTTGGGCAGGTGTAGGTGCATGCCCAGTGCTTGCCAACAGTGCGTAACAGAGACGTGACCGATCGCCCAAGCGGCTTACGAGCCGATCAGTGGTGAAGATGATAAAAGTAAAGTAAAGTGACCAATCGCCCAAGCGGCTAACGAGCCGATCAGTGGTGAAGAGGTTAAAAGTAAAAGTAAAGTAAAAGTATTATAGGCTTCCCCTGGCATTTTTAGTTTAGTTTAACAAATTTATTGGCAGAGCTTGTAGTACAGTTTGCCTATTCTGAGTAATTCAGTCAGGTCTTGACACTGAGGATGGTATCACTTCTCACTGTCACGCAGGACAGAGGTTCACACACAAAGAAATACATCATATTCATTAACAACTATAAATGTATAGAGGTCAGATTCATATGGGTAATGTCACTGTTCACTGCCATGCAGGACAGAGGTTCGTACACAAAGAGTTGCATCATATTCATTGACAGTACATATACATATATGTAAACACACACACACACACATATACATACATAGACGTATATACATACACATATACACGTACATGCACACACGCACACATACATACATATACGTAGGTCAGATTCATGTGGGTAATGTCACTTTCCATTGCCATACAAGACAGAGGTTAGTACACAAAGAATGCATCATATGCATTGACACTATATATAGGTCAGATTCATGTGGGTAATGCCACTGTTCACTGCCACGCAGGACAGAGGTTCGTACACAAGGAAGGAAATACATCACATTCACCAGCAGATATTTTATTAAAATTTTACTGAACAAATATTAAATTAATATTATTACAGTACGAGAAGTTGTAAAGGTGTCTGGTGTGGTGGCGGCGCCAGACGTACTACACGTGTATCAGCCAGCGAGTGACACGTCAGGTCCCAGGTGCTGAGGTGACTCAGTCACTCAGTAGGAAAACATTAGTCAGGTACAGGTACACCGGCCTCTTCATTGGCGTGTGTTAATTCAGCACCAAGGTAAATAACTCCTTTTAGTTATTCAATCACATAAATAAACATGACTTTAGAAGGAAGGCTCGTATATGTTGGAGTTAAAGAAAGATGCTTTGGCTTTAAAATTTACATTGATAAATATCTATGGCGATCTTTATCACCTGGGTTAGGTCTGTCTATCACGGGAATGATTAATATCGCAGTACTGTATATGTTTGTCATTTATGTTTAAATGTGTTTTAATAATTTCTGATCTTCATTTCTTGTGTAATTCTTCAGAAATGAAAATTTAGCCTAATCTTTAATATCTTACTTTATTTTATTGAAAATAGTTATTTGTCTGGTCACAGACCATTATTTCTGCTATTTGTCCGGCATCAATCTGATTGGTTGAGGCTGATAACACTGATGATCTAGAATATGTGGTAATACTTTACAAGACTAACTACAGCACAGAAAGGAGGAACTTCAAGAAAATTGTAACCATCCTACTTTCGTTTTTCCAATATTTTTGTTGGGAGTTAATAGGATCTGCGCAGACACCATGTTCGCCTTCCTCCTCGAATCCAGGTAAAAAAGTCACAGGAAAAAAAGTCAGGAAAAAAAGAAAAGTTAACTATCGAATTCTCACATTTTTTAAGGTTAATATGTCAACCTAACCTAGCCTTTATTACCGGCCACCATAAATTAATTGTGACTTTTTTCCTGTGACTTTTTTTTCTGTGACTTTTTTTCCTGTGACTTTATTACCGGCCACCTCCTCCTCTGTCAACAAGGTTAGATAACACTAAGCAGCCTACCTAACCTAACCTACTGTAGAGTACTGCACTGCCATCATAAGATAGGTAGGTAGATTAGGTCAGGTTAGGTAGGTTTCATTGTTTGTTTTTTCTTTTTCTTCAATAAATCATCTCCATCACTGTGGGAATAGTTTCTATTATGCTGTTTAGGTATGAAACACTACTACGGCAAAATCGTTGAACTAGAACTATGAAAATTGGTGTAACTCCATTTTCTTCATCTCAGATTGCAGTACAGTAGAGAATGCAAGTACAAGTGCACAGTTTGGCTGGCCACTGATCTGGTGACAGAGCACAACTAGCCCAACTTCACAAATGAATATGCGAGCTGTTTCACTTGTAATTTGGCTCATTTAACCGATTTATCATTCAACAAAACCTTACTGTACATATATTTTTCCAGCTTGCTACTTTCTGGTTACTGCACAAAAGAGAGTTGTACGGACAATGACCTACTTGAAAAAAACAGATCACACAAACAAAAAATTTGCTATATTGAAAATTTTAAAATTCGAAGATGTTAACACCTACTGCTGTGCCCTCTTTGTTTACAAATCTATCAATCACTTGCTTGACAATAATTATTTCCAGTTCTGGAATAATCAAGAGATGCAACTTAAGGCACCCAGAACTACTAAGACCACCCCCCATGCGCTTCTCTCAATCCCAGACCTCCATAAAATATCACGGTGTGAAGGTGTGGAGCAACTTACCCCCACCCATCTGAGCAAAGACTACGCTCCCTTCCTTTAAATCATCTCTTAAAAAATATCTATTGTCTAGGTATTAATATTTCTTGTAACACTAACTATATTTACAGTACCTGCTTTTATTGTACAATACCATCAAAACCGTTTTATCGGAAATTATCATGTTTAAATAGATAAGTAATTATCATTGCAATAAACATAATTGCCAACTAGACATAATCCTGACAGCTCTGTCCTCTTGTTCAACCATATTACTGTACAACCCATGTTGTACTGCTCCCCCATTATACTGTACTTATGTTTTTCAATTCCACTGTAATTTATGTATATATAAAAAATAATAAAGAAAATTAATAAATATTGAAGTGATAATTGTGGTAACATTATAAGATGTTATTATTACCACCTTGCTATTGTACTATTCCAGATGTTACTAAATGTTACATAATACTTCCTTGAGATAAATGTACTGTATAGTATATATCAGGTGCCTAAAAGAGAGCTCAGGTTCTCAACTGGCTCAGCCATGTTAATATTGTTATTATTATCCACTCTGTATCTGTGTTTTTCTGGCTAAATAAACTTTTCAATTCAATTCAATAGTTCAGTGATGGAATTGTATCGTTTTACTGAAAGTTCAGAGGTCTCGGCCTACTTTCTCCTCTTTATGTAGATAAGGCATCCCTCATTGAGAGCAGTTAATGAATTCCTGAAAAATTACATAACTGTATGTTGTTTTGCACTAACGTCGTTGACTAATTGAGGAACACAATGTAAAAACTTCCTGCACTAACATTGTCGTGTTGTTTTCAACTTCGTTGACTTAAGGCGTTTATTGTAAGGCATTTTAAGATGCACGGAATAGCTAACGCGTTAGCTTTCCCGGACTGTCATTAAAAATAAGACTTTGTACTGCGCCATTGGAATAACTGTTGTACAACACAGTCTTCAGAAAACAATAAAATTAGGAGAACTGTTATTTGAACACAATACGGAAAGAAATAGTGAAGAAAATATATAGAAAATTATGGAAAGAAAGACAAAAAAGGAAAAAAAGTCAGTCAACAAGAGATAAGAATAACACCAAAAATTGGGCCCATTGTAAAGGAAATTTCTCCAGGACTCGGGAACTACAAAAACAACTAGAGCAGCTGTATGCTTCTTCTCTCACGGCTATGCGTTCGCATATTTTGACACGAAATACGTTTAATTTCAGGTTCGTTTAAGTCTTAATTTTTGCGCTTACAGAACTGTAATCAACTTGTTCACCCTTATTTAAAGTATCTTATAAGTAATTATATTAAAGTTTTAATCATGTTTGATTAATTATCAGTATTGTTACACCAAAGTCACCAACGGCTAATGAAATCGGACAGCGCCCACTTAAAAATGGGCAGAGCCAAAGCTGGTTTCAACTAGGCGCAATTCTTTCACACCATCCGCTTTGTTTTAGGTCCTATCCAATATACTACCGTATATAGAATGATTTTTATTATTATATCACAGTTTTTTATTGCCATACATGCCCCCAACTCTTCAATGTTAATCAAAATATTCTCCATAAGCGGCCATTTTTCGCGTATTTTCAAAGGGAGAAACTCGCTGATTGGTTGTTGGCTATTCGGGCGCCTCTGCCTGCTGCAAACGCTAACGCCTGATCGAGGTGCTAGCTTTTCCCTCTGAAAGTGTCATGCGCAGAAGTCAGCAGCAGCGTCTGTGCAGACAGAATAGCTAACGCGTTAGCTATTTTGTGCATCTGAAACAGCGTCGTCAGAATCTTGGGCCCATTGTGTTCTGTCACTGTGAGTAGTGGCTAAGCTTCACGTTCAGCATTGTTTATATCTGGATTTATCCCTGCAATCGTTCAGTGATGAGTGACAGGTGTAGTGCAGGTGGTGGGGGGAAGAAAAAGTGTACAGTATAATATTATGTTGGACATTGTACAGCACTGTATAGTGTAGTAAACAAGATTAACTCATCCACTCCTCAAGGTAAGATCAACAAATTTATAGGTTAGGTTACTGGTTATATTGTAGAGCAAGATTAAAGCTTTTTAACATCTTTAAAGTTGTGTTAATTTTTTTTACACTAAAAATGCTTTTTTACAATACCTGTACAGTGGTCCCTCGGTTAACGAATTACCTCCCATAAGGATCTTCAATTCGGTTAACGAACAAAACTTCGAGTAATGAAATCCTTACAACAAACACGTTCTGAGCATCAGCTGATGGGCTAGTTCGCAAATTCAGTAATCTGTTCTATGTTTACATTCGTTTCCAGTGGAGTAAATATCAAGAAAATTCTGCTATAATATTTGTGCATTTTCTATATTAAAATTATTAGTCGTTTTAAAATTTAGTTCACATATTGATAATATATGCAGTACAGGGAACTAGTTTTTTGTGCGTCCATCAGCCGCTTGACTCGCCCACCAGGCGTCAGTGTGGCATTGTTTACAGTGGAGTGAACATCGATTTTGTTGGTGTTTTGAATATTTTTGCATTTTTACATAAAAATTATTGGTCATTCTGAAATTTAGTTAACATATTGATCATATATAGCGCGGTGCAGTGTTGATTTAAATAAAATAATCTTGAATTACACCCAGTGAACTTAAAATTTATTGGTGAAACTACTGTATCAAGCATGGGTCCCCTGAAAGGTGATTTCTCCTCCATCCCCACTTCCTTCTCTTCTCCCTTCTCCTCCACCCTCACTTCTAATTCCCATCGTCATCATCAACCAGGAACCTTCTACATACACCTCAAAGTAAGTGTACTTTACTGAATTTTTTTTTTACTTTGTATGTACTTTTCTGTGAGCTGGAACCAATTACCCAATATCCCATTGAAACAATGGATTCGGTTAACGAAATTTTCGGTTAAAGAACAACTCTGTGGAACGAATTGTGTTCGTTAACCGAGGGACCACTGTATGCTATATATAATGGTTTTTTAGAGTCATTGCCTAATATTATCACAAATACTTTTTCTATTCTATAAGTAGAAAATACTTAAAAATTTGATCTTTATTGTTGTACCACTTTATTACATTATTTTTTATTGTCCAGCTTAGTATCTCTTTGGCAACATAAACACAGAAAATAGTATTTACAGTACTCTACAGTATAGTGCAGTACAGTACAGTATTCTTGTGGGGGAAAAGTCCACGCTTAACGTTGCTTCGCTTTAATTGGTGCAGCTTTGGTCCCTAACCAAACGTATTTTGGAGACCCTTGTGTAAGTAAAAACATACTAAACAAAAAGAATTTTCCCAGAAGATTACATGTACATTAACTGGTAGGAAACACTCCTTAACAAAACTTCTGAGGAGAAACTTTTGGCCCGTGTTGTCTCCTTAGTTGACAGAGGAAGATAATCGACATAACCATCTTCTGTATGTTTGTTTCTCTTAACTCTAGGAATCTGTGCATGTTTACAGTATAGTACTTAATTTTAACCATTGTTGTTCATATGTAAAGCAACATCATAAAAGACCAAATGTAATTACAATACACAAGTATTCATAATCATTCATTCCTTTATTCATTGATATATATAATTGAATTGTTTGCTTGTGAGAACGATTATAATGTTTTGTTTTGTTTTTCTTATTTCTCAACAGCACAAAAATGTCATCTTTGGTCTTCCAGTTAATGGTGCTAACATTAGTTGTGTGTTCTGCCTTGTCTTCCAAACCTCCCAAGTCCCAGGTACAGTATTTGGCAGATACAGTGAGGTATAATGAAGGTCTACATTGTATATATATGTTACAAAAATCCTCAGTAAATTAGAAAAAAATTATATATTCACAGGTTTGTTTAATGATTGGCCACATTAAGGTCCTTACAATATGACATGTGTAATTTGTCATGGACTGTGTTAAATTTGTAACTCTTTGCATTCTTGTTTTGTTTTTTCTGCTTGAGACTTAAACTTAGAGTATAAAGTAATATAAATACTGTAATAGTTTTTGTGTGTATCATAAATAGTAATAAGAGGAAAGTAATTTTGAATTTATGTTGGCTTACACAAAATAAGTGGATACCAGTATTGTTAAGTGCTCTAGGACTAGGTTATAGAAAGGAGAATGCGTCATACATTCCAGTGTTGCACAGGTACTATATAGAAAAATTTTGAACATAAACAGCCATTCACCTCAGTTAAACATTGCCCAGTTTGCACCTACAGTACATGGCCTGCTAGATCTGTTACAGTACCATTAAACATCTTTTGGTAGTCTGTTATAACCAGGGGAAATGTAGTGTACAGTATCTTGTAGCAGCAGGAATTATTGTCAGTGGGAACAATGTTGGTGTTGTAAGAGGCTCGTCACTCTCTTGAAACACGGTTCTGAACTTGTGGTCTATTGGTTGTGACATTTGACTAGTTAAGACTTCAGTTTCGGTTTTGAAATTTTGTTAGAGTCAAATATTTCAAGACTACTTCAGTCATAAATGGATCCACATCTCTCCTCTAAACCCACTTCTTACCACAAAAGGTCCTGAACAGAATGCCACACAGTGTACTTTATAAAAAAAATTGGTGTTGAAGTAATTAAGGTGAATGGGTTTCACTTAAGTTGTTCTGCCAATTGATTACAAATTGTTCTGCAGGCATAAAAATGTTTTGTTATTCATGTGACTGCAGTTAATTTATGTCAGTCAGTCAGTAGTGGGCAGAATCATCCTTATTGGTAAAGATCTTAGGGATTACCATGCATGCAATAATGAACTGAAGGAAAGAAATTATCTAGCAGGTGTTGTTGCTCCAATTTTGAAAATGACTCTTTAATAGCTAGGCAGCTCTGTTTTTGCTCAAGTTTAGATTATATGAGATTAAAAACCTGCAACTAAAACTTTCCTTTTTATAATGTTTTTATATACTGTACCGTACTGTGCTAGTTTCAGTGAATATTTTCCATTAAAATTGTTGGATGTTACCTAGAGCTGTGTATCCCTAAACAATAATGCCTAAAGTGCACTAAGAATCAGGACCTAAATTTTCAAACATGACAAGACTAAAGCATTTCACTGTGGAAACAGTTAGAGAAATTAATAGGTCATGAGATCTTGGTTTGTAGTCAAGATGAAATTGAAGGAATTGTGTATACACTGTGTCATCTGACTTCTTAGCTTCCTTCCTTTTGGGGGGGGGGGGAGAGTTACGTGAAGGGTGTTCGATGCTCGGTCTTGTCCTCATATAGCAGGTGTAGATTAACACAACATCCAGATGCAGTATATAAGTGCAACTCAATGTACAGTGCAGGGTATAAACAGGGAGAGCAAGTAGGCGAGTATCACACAAAGGGGAGAAGGCCAATGTTCTAATCATTACCCCGTTCACCATCAAGTTGGAACTTCCTTGAGTCCTAAGCTCCAAGCCTTTGGTGAACAGATGAACATTTTAACAAGCAGTTATAAACAAGATTCTAGGATTAATCCCACTTATTGGTTTTTTAATAAGCTTTTGATGGAGCAAAACACAGTAAACATATAGATGTTTGGGAAAAATAGGTAATAATGATGGAGATAAGGAAGTATGAAATTCCATTTTCTTATTAAAGGGATAGATAGTGTGACAATAGATTCCCTTTTTCTCCTTTAAGTAGGGTTGGAACTTAGTAGGAATAAATGACTCATCTGATCTAAAGTTCAGTACCCAGATTTGACTTGGTGAGGAGCCACTGTACAGTATTTGCAACACCAGAATGATGGATGATGTATCTTATTAGTAAACAGCTCAGGTCATTATACTGTTGAGTTTAAAAAAATGCTTTTGTGAAATTACTGTATACTGTAAATTGTTTTATTGGATCATGAGAATTTAATATATTTTCAAAAATCCTGCAGTGTACACCCATCATGAACTCAGTAACTTACCAACAGGTAGTAAAGTGTGCAGTATGTCGCAGTTTGGTTAATGAATTCCACGCAGCCATCAGTGAGGTAAGTAAATGTGTTACCTAGTTACCTATGATGCTTAGACTTTTGTTTTACTGTCTTTGATCTTATACAGCATAGTACTAATATTCATAGTAAAGCTTAATGTAAGTTTTCAACCCCTGGCCACTAGAGCAGAAGGGGTGTTGCTGTGACTCCTTGGATCTTTCTTCCATATATTTGGTAATGTTGTTATTCACTTAATTTCTCCTAAATAAAAATTAGAAAAATATAAACAGGTATTCTCTGAATTTCCATGATTCATAGATGTGGTTTGTAAATGTAAATTCAACAGGAGATCCCTCTAATTTGCATAATTATGTAAGTTATGGAAGTTATTCTGCATTTAATGGTTCTCATACATCAGCAATCAATATCTGAACTATGTAAGTAAAGTCCTTTTGAACAGATATCATTGTAGGGCCTATTACACCACAAGTCAGACTGAGGTGTAATATACTATGTTCTTGTGTGTATCTCAGGTTGACCCGAGGAAGAAGATTGACATAGGTTCGTATCGAATTGAAGCAGATGGAAAACAGAAGTTGTCATCAGTGAAGTATGCTGGTTCAGAGGTAAGAATACTTTACCTTGGTTATGTTAGATTTGTTGTTCAGAAGCGTGAACCCCTTCAGTATGGGGATGCCACTTTTAATATTTTATTTGGCTAATGCCAGATGATTTTATTCAACTCAAAGGTGACACAAGAGGGTTAAACATTTGACTGACTAATCATTGTTTCTGATATTATGAATGGTGACAGTTGTTAAATGAAATAATAATGATTATGGTGAATTAGGAGAAATACAGTATGCTCATACCAAAAAATATGTTCATCATCATCATTGTTTTACAGCCATGGAGATAGGCAATAATATAACCAAAAACACTTAAAGGTGATTGTTAATTGACAGTACAGTCGGGTCGGGATATATAGCGACTTTATATAACGATTTTTTTTATATGTCGGCTACCAGAATTATCGACATTTTCCTATACTGTATACTGTACCTATAGCGCTAATTTATTTTTTTTTTCACTAGGGAAATCGTGCATGAAATATTTCAAATTTATCACTACAGGTTGTACCTCTCTAGTCCGGCATTCTGTGGTGCGGAACAATTTTAGTTTGTCCAATAGGTAGATAGGCAGCTGTTTTTTTTTTTTTTTTTTTTTTATACTTATTTGAATTATTATTATTACAGGAGTATTAAATTTTTGCCATTCAGGCCCCAATGTGGGTCAGTGACCTATGCCCGGGTGGGGTAATCCCCGTAAAAAAAACAACACCAAAGCCGTGGGAAATTAAGGTTTGTTTACATCCGGCAGTTCGGCTGCTCTCTCTCTCTGCTTGTCTATACAGAGTACAACATTTAACCCTTCAATATATATGAGCAGTAGATAAGTGTTGCCTTCATATTCTTATGTAGAGTAATGACGATATGTTTTCACATGTGCGCACTTACATATGCGCAGTCTCACTTTTTTTTTTACCAGTAATGGTTAGCTACTTATATTGTTCCATTTATTAACATTAAATAACATTACAGGTACTTCAAACAACCATATTAATTTTATTACATTAATTTTACTACAGCTACAATCAGGGTCTTATTTTCTTCAGTTTTATATGTAGAACCAGTCAGTCACTGGTTTTGTAATCATCGAAAACAATGCTGTCTCATTTCCTCGTGTTTTAATATTCTACCTATTATTAATGAATTGTATTGCTCATTTTGCACACACAAACATTAATTCAATAAAAACAAATTCAGAAACATTAATTAAAATATATATGAACAGTAAATAAGTGTTGCTTTCATATTCTTATGTAAAGTAATGACGATATGTTTTCACGTATGCGCACTTACATATGCGGTCTCTTTTTTTCTTTACCATTATCGTTAGCTACTTCTATTGTTCCATTTATTAACATTAAATAACATTACTTAAAACAACCATATTAATTTTACTACAGCTACAACCAGGGTCTTATTTTCTTCAGTTTTATATGTAGAACCAGTCAGTCACTGGTTTTGTAATCAACGAAAACAATGCTGTCTCATTTCCTCGTGTTTTAATATTCTACGTATTATTAATGAATTGTATTGCTCATTTTGCACACACAAACATTAATTCAATCAAAAAGACTGAGTAATAAACAATAATGAATCTTTTGTACATAAGAGAAATGACGCTGTTTAGAGGATTGTGCACGTCGTCTGAACGTTGGTGGGCCGTCGAAATTCGAGTTTCCATCGTCAAAATATTAAAAAAAAAAAATTTTGTGTTCAAATAGAAAACGTCGAATTAAAAACTCGCTAAATTTGAGAAGCTACTGTACGACATTTAACCCTTCAATATGTCTTCAAAGAGGCCATGAAGCAGAGAAAGTGGTGCTAGTGCTTCCAAGCGTAAGCACAAGTCACTATCTATCCAGGAAAAGGGTGAATTTCCATGGTCCGGCACAGGTCAGGTCCCGAGGTTGGCGGACTAGAGAGGTACAACCTGTACTACCAAAATTAGTGAAATTTTCCAATATACAGTAAACTTGCAACTTACGGGAGGGTTACCGGAGGGTTACGTTCCTGGGACCTCGTGTAAAATGAGAAACACTCCTAAATCGCCCTTAAATGACACACACACACACACACACACCTAGAACTCATAAATCACTACTGTAATGTGATAAGTACAGGTGATTAATTTTTATCTCTTGTACAAAATATATGACGTTTAAATTCAAATTATTCGCTGTCTTGCAAGGATTCCAGCAATGCAAACTACTGTATATTCTCCTAACTTTAGTCTGTGATATTATCTAAGATAAAAACTGTATGCCTAAATCCACCCAACCCTGGCTGGGAAGATGGGAGGGGAGGGGGGTGAGGTGATATGCCAGTTATGAAGTGCCCTCTTCGATGGTGGTGTTTTATTTTTATTTTTTAATCATCAGTAACAAGAGGGTAGGGTATCTACTAGCCATGAAAAAAGAAGCGGATCAGCTCATTTTCTCCAACTGGTTCTTTATATATAGGGTATATAATAATTACAGTAAAAGAATATGTGAAATGTTCTCTGTTCATTGTCAGTATATCAAACATTGAAAGATTTAATTTGTTTTAGCCATGGTTGAGCTGTAAGGTAGCATTTAATGACCCTGTTTCTTTAGTTTATGTTGTAAATAAATTTTCTAATGTCATTGTAAGGTATATGATTCATCTATGCATGAAGTTGAAGTACCGGTACATATTGTCAACCAGTATTTTGTAAAGGAGCAGTTTGCATGTTGCTTTTATTGCATATTAACTATATTTTCATTAACAAATTATAAAATACAGGTGCTCCTCTACTTACAAACGAGTTACGTTCCTGAGGCTTGTTTGTAAGTCTAACTTTACTGGTGTAGTTACCAAACATATATTAAAAAATTAAAAGATTATGGATATGTACTCCAGCTATAACCTTTAATACAGCCTTAAAACCTGGCTCACTCTTCTCCTCTTAGGTAATGTTTGTTCTATCTGGAATTTTCTTCAAAATAATCCAGTTTCCTCCACATTAAACACCTGTTCTGGCAGGTAACCCCCCTCAGTGATGATGTTCGTATCTCTGAAAGTTTGTAAGTTGAACGTTCTTAAGTAGAGGGGCACCTGTATACCAAAATTCAAGGGACATTCATAGCAACTGGCCTCAAAATGGCCCTCAAATAGATCAGATTTAAAAAAATGGGGAGGTGGGGCTTAACCCCCCCCATGTCATAAAGGCTCGCTTCATTTGCCTTGTCCCTCGGGGGCTGGTGCCCTTTTTGCAGACTCTCAGCCCCCATCTGACAGATCTTTTGCATGGCTCTGTTTCTGTATGAAATATTTCCTTCTGTTATAAAGTTAAAAGTGTAAGATTAGACTCAGTTGATTAAGAAATAGATTTTCTAACGAATGGAAATTACTTTACAGATGCATATGTTGGAGATGATGGAGACTGTGTGTGACAACATGAAGGACTACGCTCAGGCTCGTAATAAAGAAACCAACAAGCTGGAGGCAATTAAGCTTGTTGTTAATGGAGCGATGAATCCTCACTTTAGTGAGTATGAGATGGTTCAAGATCCTGAACTCAACAAAGGGCTGCAATTCCACTGTGAATCAATTGTTGAAGATTTTGAAGATGAAGTAGTTGCATATTTTAAAGACAATTCTGAATTGGATATAAAGGACTCCCAGGAGCAGTTTTGTAGTAAAGTGACAAAAATTTGTGTTGGTGTAAGAGATGAACTGTAACTTAATAAATTCATAATGTACCATAAGAAATTTTAATTTTTTATGAACAATTGTTAACCAAATAGAATTTTTTAATATCCTACATTCCAAGAGTACTATGTGTTTTTTGTCCAGTAGACTAAATACTGTACAATACAGGTACAGTACTCTTAAAAAGTTTACAGTAGGCTACAAAATGGCTCACATGGTAACCCTCATAACTAAAAAGCTCACAAAAATTTTTGGTAAGCCAGGAATGACATGCCCGAGTACCCCATTCCATCTACAGGTGAAGTGTGGGATGGTGTACACAATGTACCGCTACTTGTTCATGTTTCAGTGCTTGAAGGTAGAAGGATTCATAAGGTTCGATACAGAGTATTGCATACTTTTAAATTATTTGACTTCGTGTAGCAAATGTTTAGCACTTAAAAATGTGAACCAAGCTCAATTTTATTATATTTCTAGTGTTTAGAACCTGAATAAACACAAGTAGGAGGAGGAGCGGTGTATAAGATGAGAGAAAAAAAAAGTATTTTCCAAAGTATTTAGTCACTATTGTGATCAATTTTCAGTTTTCTAACTCAAAATTTGCCAGAGATAAAATGTGGACAGGCAAAGAAAAGAAATATAACAATGTTCCTCTTTCACATTTGTTTGTGCAGCACCTGATGATGGAACGGGGGGGGCAGTGTGCCGTAAAAGAGTATCATTCTTGATTTTTCTATAAATTTATCCTTTCAAGGGATATGTGGATAGCACTGGTAATGTAAATGGGAACATGTTAGACAAATGATTGGATAGAATGTAAAGATAATTTGGGCAGAGAGAAAATGGATATGGGAGAATTGATAAGTATGGTAATGAGGTAAATGGAAGAGAGTAGATTGAGAGCTTGTGACTTAAGAGATGGTGAGTGATTGTGGAGTAGTATTTTATAAAGATGGATTGTGTGGTCTACTGCCAGGTAATGAGAGATGGTTCATAGGATATACAGTAGATATTAGGATTGGATATATGTAGTACTATACCTGTACATTTTTCAGGAAAGCTTATTTTTTTATTGCTTAAGATGACTGATTACCTGTATGGCTTGTGTTAATTTGTTGAACTATCTTATTGAAAGATTGAGTATTAACACAAATTTATATTCCTCATCATTTTAAATAAGTGAGCTGTACTGTAGTAGTGTATTTCAATGGCAATGTTATACAATATTTGAGTTATGTATTTACATAAGAATTTAACAATATAAATAAAAGTCTATTGATAGAATTACATACAATTATTGATCGTTCAATGTTGAAATATTAATGAAAACAGATTGAACAACAGCCACAGGAATGATTCTACGAACTTACCCTAACTGTTTTCCTGGTGTGGGTTTGTTGTTTTATCTTGTTTTGGAGGGAATGAACTTTTGACCTGATTGTACCTATAGTGACTAGCCTTGTTAACTAGGAATTATAAATGAATTGCCCATTATATTTAGCTGACGAAATATAGGTGTGGGCAGATCAGTATTACATCCACTTGAAAATTTAATTTGTGAGAATATAGTTAAGAAATGATGTCATTATACCAATATTTATGGTCATCCTTTCACAGTCACCCATAAAAGTCCTGTCACCTCTCCTGCTGAACCATGAACCCCAAGATTTAGATACGTGAACCCAAAGCAGTAGATCGATACATTATTCTGCCCATAAATGCTTCGGATTCACAAGTCTGAATCTCGGGGTTCAAGGCTCAGGAGAAGACACGACTGGGTGACTGTACCTCAATATTCTCTCTTTGATTGTCTCATGACTTGACTTTTAACCCAATATGTTCATAACTCTACCATCTTGACTATACTTTTGATAGTTTAAGATTTCTTAGCATTCCAAACAGTTTGTTGTGTGAATTAAATTTTTTGTTTACATTGAGATAAATTGTTGCACAAAGTTTTGTTTGAACTTATATAAAAATGTATGAAATTTTTGGTCCTATTATATACTGTACAGTAAAGCCTCGAGTTACAACGGTAATATATCCTCCAGTGTTGTGGTGCAAGGCGAATCATAGTACACGTATCCTGAATCATTCAATCAGTCAGAGGGTTGGCGACCAGAGGAGTCTTCTCTAAATGTTGGCCTTCTTTTCACCGATCCTTCAAGGTTTTGTGTCTCTCTGGGGACCCAGGTTTTAATTTCAGTCATCCATCCCAGACTCTGTCTTCCCCAAGCCCTCCTACCCTCAACTTTGCCAATTAATATTTCTGTTATTATCTCCTCACCCCTTTATACGACCACTGGTCGGCTCGTTAGCCGCTTGGGTTGTTGGTCATGTCTCCAGTACAGTATTTCTCTTGAAATTTTTACTTCAGTATATTAGTACAATACTGTACAGTACAGTACCGGTATGTGTTTTATTTATTATTTGTGAAAATTATATTAAATTTTATTGTATATTTTTCTATTTCCATCATAAATATGAATAAAATGGCAATGTAAATTGAATTGGGTCCTAAATAGGAATTGGTGTAATTCGAGGCTTTCGTACTATACATGTCGTAAGCCACTATTGCACTGACATTCTGTGATTTACATTGTTTTGTGAAGGTTTGGCATTATAAATGTTCATCTCTCATTAGTTTAAGTCACTAGTTTTAGATGTTTATGAAGAGAAATGACAAATATTCTGAGCTTTTTTTAATAATCATTTTGGGTATTCTTTATATTTTTATGCAGTGGCTTCATAAACAATATAGTGTGGTCATTTTATGTCTTTAAAGTATAGTATAGTATTATGGGCTGTATTAAACCATGACACCTATTTCTACTCATACTACAGTACTCACTTCCATCCACTTGATGTCCTTCCGCTGTATCAAGTTGTAGGTTAACTGATTATGTTGGAGGCCGACTTTTGAGAACACTGAACCCATTTTGTATTTAAAATATAATGATGATTTTGTTCAAAGACTTAGTGAGTTTATTTCTATTTTTGTTCCTGTTGACCAAGTTTATGCACAAGCGATTTTTATTTTACGACAAAGAGGTGCAAATTCCTTACCAGGACTGAAGACATTAGAGCACACCACACACCCCTCCAACACACCACACACCCTCCATCACACCACACACCCCTCCAACACACCACACACCCCTTCAACACACCACACACCCCTCCATCACACCACGACCCTCCAACACACCACGACCTCCATCACACCACGACCTCCATCACACCACGACCCCTCCAACACACCACGCACCCTCCAACACACCACGACCCTCCAACACACCACGACCCCTCCAACACACCACGTCCAACACACCACGCACCCTCCATCACACCACGCACCCTCCATCACACCACGCACTCCTCCAACACACCACGCACCCCTCCAACACACCGCCAAGCACCCCTCCAACACACCGCACACCCCTCCATCACACCACACACCTTCAACACATCACACTCACCCCCAACACACAACACACTCCTCCAACACACCACACACCCTCCAACACACAACACACCTCCAACACAACACACCACACCACACCCTCCGACACCACACGCCCCTCAAACACACCCCTCCAACACCACACACTCCTCCAACACGCCACACACTCCTCCAACACACCACACACCCCTCCAACACACCACACACCCCTCCAACACATCCCATTCTGATATAACGAATGTTAAACATTCACAAAAGGTGTTACACCTGCAGTCACGCAGTGCTAGGCCTAAACCTCAGGCACAAAGAACGACTCGCCCACCACTCACTGATGTATATATTGTCTTATCTTTTTTTAATTTTTTTAAGTTGTGGACATTATAATCCCACCTCATTAAAAATGAAGTACAGTAGTCTCATCAGGCGTGACTGCCCAGTAGAGAAAGTGTGGACACAGCAAGGAACCAGCTGGGTGGACTGGAAATAAAATCAGCGACTCATCGACCAAGAATTAGTGTTATATTGTTATGGCCAAAATCACTTAGTGCTGTATGAACTCCAAAAATCATCATCAGCGGACCCAAACATCTGAAACACTTACTCTTAGGGTTCAATAACCAAAGAAATATTCAACAAGGAATATTAAGTGGCTATAACCTGAAGTGTTGTCTGTTTTGTTTACACTACAACATAACACCAGTAAGTCATACACCATACAAGACCATCATTAAGGCAAGATATTTGTTGTTTCTAAGCAATAATGCATACTCTACTGTACTATGTGTAATGGACGAGTTGACGGTTCTGGGTAAACACAAGAAATACACTGTCACGTTCGTAGTGTGTTATGGTATATATAATTTGTAATTTAAGTTTACAGTCCTGCTATAATAGTCGAGATACAGTAGGCTCTCACCAATAACGTTTAACAGGTGCCTGAAAAACACCGTTATTAGCGAAAACGTTATTTGTGTGACATTAAAATACATGTAAAAAGGGTTTATTGGTGCTGCTGCCACAAGAATTTCACCCATTTTTTCCCATAGAAGCCCTCCTAACACTTTTTGTTAGCTGGAATAAAAAGAATTACTATTCAATCATCAAAATAAAGAGTTTGAGTAATATAACACTTAGTTTTTGAAGTGCTTGGTGTGATGATTGTTCCGTATCTGAGGGCCGCTAACACTTGCACTGTCTTTCATTCTACAAGCTAACCATTTCACAAGAAAATGCTCTGTTATCACTAACAACCTGTTTCTATCGCCTTTATCATTCATAGCTCGCCTCGCATTTCCATCACTACCGAAATATTTTTAGCCAGCACAATACTCTTCTTGGTCTCCTCTAAGTTCCTCTTAATATTTCACACTGTAGACTCAGGACAGTTCAATTTCCTCACTTTAAAAGTTCCCAGTCATTCAGGTGGCAAATCACTCCCTCCACCACCTCCCCTAGCCCCCACAAGCAAAAATGCGGAAGCCATTATTGATCACCGACCCAAACAACTGGTTATAGTGGCGAAAATCTCACACGGGGGCGCAGCGCTGTATTCCACTGAGCGTGTGTGAGAGTGAGGCGGAGTGGACAACTACGTCATCAACATGGCGGCAAACAAATGTTTTCATTGATGCGCTCGGACGCTTCCCGCGAAATCTCCGTTATTCAAGAGAATCCAGACGTTATTATCGAAAATGGGTATCTATTGTAACTTACCGTTATTGTCGAAAACGTTATTGTGGAAGTCGTTATTGGCGAGAGCCTACTGTAAGTTTATTTCTCTAGAAACAGGGCTGCCATTTGCAATGACGTCACCACTTACCATGCAGACAACGCAGGGATGGAGAACGAGTAAATTTAGAAGCAATGACTGTCTGGAATTTTTGAGAATGCCTGGTGCTAGATAAACATGACAACATAGTGCTGTTATTGTTTTGATGATTCACAAATGAACCACTGAGATATATTATAATTTATATTAATTAATGAGTAAAATTTTACTTTAACTTCCATAAGTTTTGGATGTTTAGATTCAAGATAGACTATATTGGGTAAATTTTAAGTTTTGGTCATCCCCGTACTTATACATGCAGGCCATGTTTTTTTCTGATGGTTTGCGATGTGTTATGAGCGATTTAGATGTTCATTTCTATCGAAAATCAGTAGTTTTGAGTTACTACCCATCCCTTACTGATGCATGTTAAACTAACATATGACCTGTATTTTCTTAATGCGATCGAAAAATGTTTTGCGACAGAAATCCCGTAGAGATAATGTGACATTGTTTAAAGTACTTAATCCCAGATGACCACAACCAAAATAATACCAATATTGTTTGGAATGTTTATACTATGAAATTTGTAGTAGGGGCAGCTAATATCCATTGAATTAGTTATTGTTTATACCACCACCTCTTGCTCACCTGAGCCCTCACCTTTCCTCCTCATCACCACCACCTCCTGCCCACCGGGACCCCCACTGTCTCTCACCAGCACCACCACCTCTTACTCACCTGAACCCTCACCGTCGCTACCACCACCACCACCTGCCCAGTCGGGTCCTTGGCAATCCTCGCCGCCACCTCCAGCTCCTGCACAGGTACACCAAGTTGGTTCTATGGAAACAATCACTCTCCGTCTGGATTGCCACTCCAAGCAAATCAACCTTCTCTGCCCAACTCGACTTGTTTGTGAAAACAATTGCGACATTGCAGAGGCAACAACAACTCATTCTGGACACCCTGGCCCAATAGGGGCGCACTTTGCAAGCCCTGGTGACCTGCCTCCTTCCTTCTCCCGAGATGGAGGATCCATCCCTCGCTCTCCCACTCCTCCCTCTCCAATATCCTAAACAGAATTTGGTACCTCCTCCGGAGCCCTGTCTAGCCCCACCGACTCATCTCACACCGGAGGCTGTTCCCTCCTCTTCTTACAATAGAACATCCAGGGACTTTGACCTCGCTGGACAGACTTCGCCCAGTTTGTGCTCTCCCATCAAGTAGATGTCGCTCTACTTCAGGAAACCATCACAGACGATGTTACTCCACTCCGCCTCTCTGACTATACTGTTTACACCCTGCCTCGGTACCGTGGGCAGGCTCGTGGCCTCCTCACCCTTGTGCGTAACACCATTCCATCTGTTCGTCTTCCTTCACCTGACTCACATGGACCCGTCTGAATTACTTTCTGTCTCCCTTACTCTTGGTGACCTGACCCTTCGTGTAGTCAATGTTCATTTCAAGAGTGATTCTCTGGACCCCCAGGTTCTTCACGACCTCCATGATGGGGTTCCCACTATTGTTCTTGGCGACTTTAATGCCCGCCATCCCACTCCATGTACCCTTAATGGATCACATCTCTCTCAGTTTCTTAATGGGGATGATGATGATGATGTTCGCTTTCTTTGTCCTGACGATCCTACTCGCCTCCCCCATAGTTTCCTTGATGTTGGCTTACTATTGAACGGTAATACCTCCTTTCATCCTACCGTCTGCACCAAACCACCACTGTACTGTATAGTGACCATCTCAGGCTCTCCTTCTCTGCCCCGACATCAGCTCCTTATCGATCCCCTCACCTTCGTCTCACACAAGATGCTGTTCCTTCCTTTACCCAATACATTTCTACCTGGGTGGATTCCTATGTTGTCCCCCAATCCCTTGACTCTTACAGCGCTGATTTTGTTGATGCCGTGTATGACTGTCAATCGCACTGCCCCTCCACTAACTACTGGTATCGTATCCCGGCCACAAGACATCTCCGGCAGGTAACCCGTGATCTCCACTCTGCCATACGGAGGTCTCGCTCTCCAGAGGACTAGGAAGAATTAAAAACTGGTGCTCCTTTGCAACTCAGGCGCGTCGGATTCTCTTTTGGCACCCAACAAATAAATACACACGATGATACTTGAGCAGTAATTTATTTTAACCTAAAAATAAGGTATGCCTGTGTATATCAACTTAATACTCACATCAAAATGATCTTTACAACAGGTAGTAGGCAGTTACCAAACAGGGAGGTACTACTGCCTGGGAAGATATTGGAAGCATGTGTTGTCTAATGGTAGACCCTGCTGCCATATGGCATCACAAAAATTGTGACCAAGTCCCAGGTTGCTGATCTGACTTTCTGCCTCATTTACACACAATTGCAGGGTCTCAATTGATTCTCTTACTATTGACAACACATACATACAGTATATTGTTCCTCACTTTTGACTTTTTTTTAAATTTTGTATTTCTTTATGGTTCTTTATTATTATTATTATTATTTTATAAATTTCATTAGCTATGAATAATTATTATTATTATTATTATTACATTTTTGCCCCTCAGCCCTGATGTGGGTCAGTGACCTGTGCCTGGGTGGGCTAATCCCATAAAAAAAAAAAAAAATAGGTGCTGGATTCTGACATGGGAAACTGTCGTCGAGCAGCAAGCCACCATCTCTTCATTACCTTCTTATCTTTCGGTACTGTGCTAAATATTTTGCCTGGTGAGGATTTGTCAGTACTCTT